ACGAGCTGGAGGAGGCCGAGGAACGTGCGGATATCGCAGAATCTCAAGTCAACAAGCTCCGTGCTAAGACTCGAGACTTCACATCCAGCAGGGTGAGGCGCTGACTTGGCAGAACCCCCAGGGACTGTAGAAGCTTCCGAGCTGGAAGGAACCTCAGAGAACCCCTTACTTTAGAACTGGGGACTCTCAGGCTCAGAAGATAAAGTGCTTAAAGCCACTTAGCTGACTACCCTCACTAGATTCCAGGCTGTGAGTCACAGAGAAAACCACCATCCTGCACATACACACCATAGAATACTATGCAGCCATAAAAAGGAATGAGATCATGTTTTTTGCAGGGACATGGATGAAGCTGGAAGCCATCATCCTCAGCAACCTAGCACAGGAACAGAAAACCAAACACCACATGTTCTCACTTATTAGTGAGAGTTGAACAATGAGAACACATGGACATAGGGAAGGGAACAACACACACTGGGGCCTGTCGGGGAGTCGGGGAGAGGGGAGGGAGAGCATTAGGACAAATACCTAATGCATGTGGGGCTTAAAACCTAGATGACGAGTTGATGGGTGCAGCAAACCTCCATGGCACATGCATACCTATGTAACAAACCTGCACATTTCGTACATGTATCCCAGACTAAAAGTAAAAAAAAGAACAAAAAACAAAATCCAGCCATCCTGAAAAGGAGAGAGCGGGTCCCACTGAGCTCATTCACGCGCCCCCTGCTGGTACCAGAAGGCTGCTGCAGGAGTTCCCTCCACAGCCCACTGAACTCATATCAGACAGAAAGTTCAGGGCTGCCCAGCTGTCCGGCTTTCAGGGCTTGCTGTTTTGGAGGGCCAGTTTCTCAGGCTGTGGAGTGACTCCATGTATACAATGGTGCATTTTCCCAAGGTCCAATGTCCTGCGTCCCACTGAAGTAGGCAAGCAACTCCTTGATGCCAGCCAGCAGAAGTGGGGGGCGGGAATCTCTGCCCCCCGACTTGACTCCAGGTGTCTACTTTCTTCCCAGATGGTGGTCCACGAGAGTGAAGAGTGAGCCAGCCCTCCTGAAGGACAGAAGATATGCAAAATGTATATTTTCTTGGTTCCTGATCATCGATACCTAATGTCCATGTGACTCTTTTTCACAAGAAATAAACTTTGCTTTGTTTCAATCTGAGGCTGTTTTGCTGTATTTGTTTTCCTCTTCCCCATGTGGAAATGGTTCCTAGTTTGATGGTTTCTGTGCTCAGAGGTAGAATCTTTGTAAGCAGATGGCTCAGTGAATTCCGTTGATATGTGCATGTGCAGAGGGAGAGATGGCTTTTTTACTTAAATCAAAAGGGGAGAAAAACACTTCTAGGTTAACCTTTGCTTTGGTGGGCAGTGGCAGGGAGGGCTTTTCAAAAGAGTCATCTCTTAATATGACATGAAGGAAACACAAAGGTAGGCTCATGAAAAGCGCTTGTCTCGGTTGAATAGGGTCCTAAAACGAAGGCCCACATTCCCCTTCTTAACATTCTACTGGGGAAATACATCTGAAATCTAGTATTTGTTGAGCAGCTGTTCATGCAATCTCTGTGCTATCAGGAATATACAAATGAATACTAAAGAGGCTGACCCTTCAAATACTGTCTAAGTCACAACTGTTATCTTAGCTAAATGTGTACTATTTCAAAGCTGCACAACAGAAAATCCCGCCCCTGACCCAAGGTACTCTTGTCTTTACCTTAAGAGGGAAGGGGCCCGGCACGGTGGCTCACACCTGTAATCACAGCCCTTTGGGAGGCCCAGGTGGGCAGATCACGAAGTCAAGAGATCAAGACCATCCTTGTCAACATGGTGAAACCCTGTCTCAACTACAAATACATAAATTAGCTGAGCATGGTGGTGCGTGCCTATAGTCCCAGCCACTCAGAAGGCTGAGGCAGGAGAATTGCTTGAACCAGGAGGTGGAGGTTGCAGTGAGCTAAGATCGTGCCACTGCACTCCAGTCTGGTGATAGAGTGAGACTCTGTCTCAAAAAAAAAAAAAAAAAGGCAGGAAGTCAAATAACCATCTGGTTGACATGCTACTAGAAACAGCGTCTTGTAGCTTGGGATCCTTTGTTTATTGTCATCATTAAATTTATTAGCAATAGCTGCCAAATTCCCTTCTTTGTCTGATTCCAGAAGTTAAGGGGACCCAGCTTGATTCAGGTGAAAACTAAAGGCCAAGGGGTGTTCTCTTCAGCCACCAGCACCAAGTTGAGCATTTCCTGGGATTTGCCATTATAATAGAAAGGGGTCACTTATCCATGTCAGATTTGGCCTGTCAGTGACTTCAAGTCGTTTTTCTCAAAGACCACATCACTTGCTTTCAATACTTGATGGCAACACTGTGACTAAAAATAATGGCATGTCCTTCTGGTGATGGCTGTCACCGACAGGAGATCGCCACAGCAAGAACAAGTGTGACCCATGTCCTGGCCAGAATCAGTGATACAAGGACTACAGTCACTCAGGTCCTCTCGGAATTTATGAGGACTCTGTAGAACAACTTCCAAGGAAAGCCAACAATAGAGAAAGCAAATGAAATTTCTTATTACAGAGGTATTCCAAATGAGAAGTCAAAAAGGAATAGAATAACGAGTATCACCAGAATTAGGAATGCTTAGTAAACTATGGCTAACAGCATCACAAAAAAATAGACAACCAGGCATATGTGACCCCGACGGAAGCACACACCGTCACCTACAAAGAATTCCATCCACCTGGAGTCTGCTCAAGCCTCTAGATGTGACTACTACTGATTTATAGGAAATCTGGGGGACAGAGACACAAGATGCAAACAAAAAACAAAAAACCTGGTAAGGCTGGGTGTGGTGGCTCACACCTGTAATCCCAGTACTTTGGGAGGCCAAGGCAAGCAGATCACTTGAGGTCAGGAGTTTGAGACCAGCCTGGCCAACATGGTGAAACCCCGTCTCAAAAAAAAAAAAAAAAAAGGAATCTGAAAGTCTAAGACGATGGGGGGAAGAAGGTTTTATGAGTCCATAAGTTGCACTTCTATTGGCGTGCCTAATATGTCATGTATTTCTATGTTGTGTACATAACGTTTCACTACTGAAAACATATTTTTAAAAAAGAGCTCTAATTAATTGGCTTAAAGAAAAATAAACAAATACACATGGCAATATGTACAGATCAGAAAGGAAGAGTGAGAGATTTTTGAAGTTAGCTTTTTTTTTACAGAATTTAAGACTTAAAGAATTAATAAAAGAGGCCCCTGATGCATTTTATGCAGAACGGGAATGCCTCTGAACTTGCAAACTTCTGGGGCCATGGGATCCCCCTGTGTCCACTTATTGGCAAAGTGTGACATTTCCCACAAAGGAGAGGGTGTGGAGTTTGGTGCTGGAAGTGGCCCATGACTACCTCTATTAGGCTCTGATTTTGTGAAGGATATAAATGAAAAGATTCCTTTTCTAGGAGTGAATATTATGACCAAAGTCACTAGTATTAATTTATTCCATAAAAGAACAGATGCCCACTACTATAGAAAATGTAAGCTGCATTATTAAGAAGAGAAAAATGAAAGCACGAATTCCATTCCAAATCTGGAGCCGCTGTGCCTTAGGAGCAGGGGAGGGGGTCTCGTCCATCCATGGAGAGGAGGAGGATGAAATCAGCCACTATTTACTGAACTCTACACACATGTCCTCGGCACGCAGACTCAGTGATGAAGAGATGGACCTATCACCCCACTTTAAAGATGAAGAAGAGATGAAACACTGAGTGATTTGCTCAAAGTCAAGATGGCAGAGCTGGGATTCTCTCTAGATCCTAAGACTCCTTTACCCTACCAAGTATTAACCTCCTACCAGAGCAGCTGGCTGCATAGAAGAAATCCCTAAAGGAGGTGGAGCACAGGGAAAGGTGTGTTGAAACTGGGCTGATAGAACCCAAAGAATACTTCTTGTTTTCTCTTTGACGAATGTTTCTGTTAGCATCTTCCAGGCGTTTCCCTATAACCCACCTCTTGTCCACCAACCCAGCTACTCCATCCTCAGAGAGTCTCTTTTTTTTTTTTGAGACGGAGTTTCGCTCTTGTTACCCAGGCTGGAGTGCAATGGCGCTATCTCCGTTCACCACAACCTCCGCCTCCTGGGTTCAGGCAATTCTCCTGCCTCAGCCTCCTGAGTAGCTGGGATTACAGGCACGCACCACCATGCCCAGCTAATTTTTTGTATTTTTAGTAGAGACGGGTTTCACCATATTGACCAGGATGGTCTCGATCTCTTGACCTCGTGATCCACCCACCTTGGCCTCCCAAAGTGCTGGGATTACAGGCTTGAGCCACCGCACCCGGCCAAGAGCGGACCGGACCTTCAACCATTCAGTAGGAACTTGGGTGACTTTAGCTCATTTGCAATATCCACCGGCTCTTTCCTACATGGGCTCCAGAACAGGGCAGCAAAAGAACGACGGGCGCCTTCTCTTCAGGCTCACTTCTTTGGGTGGAATCCCACTTTCTACAAATTAATGGTCATTTCTTATTTTATTTTTTATTTTTATTGAGATGGAGTCTTGCTCTGTTACCCAGGCTGGAGTGCAGTGGCACGATCTCGGCTCACTGCAACCTCTGCTGCCCGGGTTCAAGCAATTCTTGTGCCTCAGCCTCCTGAGTAGCTGGGACTACAGGCGCATGCCACCATGCCTGGCTAATTTTTTTGTATTTTTAGTAGAGACAGGTTTTGCCATGTTGGCCAGGCTGGTCTCAAACACCTGACCTCATGATCTGCCCACCTTGGCCTCCCAAAGTGCTGGGATTACAGGCATGAGCCACTGCGAGGCCGTTGAGGGTCATTTGTATTTGCTTTTCCCTTTCACAAATAGCCTTGTTGTTTCTCTTTCATTCTTTTTTTCTGGTGTTGAGGCATGGAATTTATTACCTTTCTCTTCGTAATCCTCACACTATCCAGAAACCTCTGGCTTTCTGAATTTTTTTTATTGAGTCTTAAATCTCTTAACAGTGGATTTGTATTTTTTATTACCTTTTATAATTTTTTAATTACATAAGAAATACATGGCCATGCACAAAATTTGAAAAAAAAAGATCTGTCTGTCCACTATAAAAGGCCTGCCAGCGAGGAGGGTAGACGCTTTATTTGGAACAGATGAGATCTTGATTTATGATTGGCAGATGGCCCCCTTCTTAAGGACATGTGAGGAATGTGGTTTCTAATAGGAGTAACATATCCTTATGGGGGAAAATTGGTTGCCATTTGCAGCCCTGCCACCAGTTGGTGAGGGTGGCCTTTCATTCTCCAGGCCTGGGTCACCCGACAGCTGAGAGCTTTAATAAAATGAGAGTGCCTAGGAATGTGGAGCGAGCGAGCCACCCAGAGCACAGCTGTCTATTTACACCCCTACCAATAATCCCCGTGCTAAAAACAACAGCGGCGGGGAGGTTCTGAGGCTGCTTGCTGGATCCGAGCAGCGATCAGGTTACCCTCAGCAATGCCGAGACACTCTGGAGGTGCTCCTGCCCCAACTGCAGGCCATCTGTAGCCAGGGGCCTAGGATGGCCCAGATTATTTTTATCTAAGACGTTTCAAGCTTTCCATAACAGTGAAGAGCAAAGAACTCCCAGCTCCTGGGCTTTGATGAGTCTTCTTTGTGTTACATTAAATGGGACATGGCCCTTGTTCCAAAGCCCTGGGGACACTTAGGAGGGGGATGATAGACACCCTTAGGTCGCCTTCATGGGGAAGCCTGACTCGAGCTTGCCGAGAGAGGGGGCATCTTAGGAAAAGCACATGGAGAGATGTCACTGACACAGGACTCCTCAGTGACTCACGGATACGGAGGCGAGACAGGTGGAGCCTCATACTTAAGGACAGTAAAGGAAATACAACTTCCCGAACAATAATGATGAAAGAACCAAACCAAACCCATAGGAGTCCTGCGTGATGGATGACAGCGACAGAGTGGCATGCTTTCATAGTCGGAGACCAAAAGAAAGCCCACCTCTTGGGTTGAGTTTCTAGCAGGAAAAGTAAAGTGTTGGGGCAATCTGCGTGCCCTTGGGAAAAACAAATTCTATGTTGACTTTCCGGCTCAGCATTTCGGTAATAAAGAGAATAGGCCAGGCGGGGTGGCTCATGCCTGTAATCCCAGCACTTTGGGAGGTCGAGGCAGGCAGATCCCCTGAGGTTAGGAGTTTGAGACCAGCCTGGCCAACATGGTGAAACCCCATTTCTACTAAAAATAAAATAAAAATAAATACAGAGAGAATAATAAGGCAGAAGCAGTTCCTTAACAAATTTGTGAGCAATCCTGGCCCTGAACTTGGTTTTCTTGGTCTGGGGAGTGGGCATGGCTGTTTGCAATTCACACTGCTCAGAAGCCTAAAGAGAGGATCATCTTGGAAAAGGCCCTGGGGGAGAGGTGCTGCCATGAGAAGCCAGGACACCTTAGCAAAAAGCCCAGGCCAGCCAGAGCTTCCTGCTCCAAGCTGTGCTGCTAGAAATTTCAGGTCTGTGTTTTCTTATACATGTATTCATTCATCTGTCACTTACCATCTGCCTATGACACGCCCAAGGGATGGGAGACGCAGAGATACCCAAGAAAGATTGGGAAGAGGGAATGAGGAGAGAGCTCACGTCTTAAAGCCCTAAGGCTTTGTATGAAGTTGGGAGGAGGGGATGGAGGGAGACATATTTCCAAATATGGTCCAGCCTCAGCTCCAGGAGGGCAAGATGAGCATCCATAGCAGCTGTGCCTATTTTGGGCTTGGGGTCTCTGTCCCAAGGACAACAGGTGTTGAGACCTGAAGCACAGGGCATTATACATGGGCGTTTATTTTGAGGGGCTCCCTCAATGGGGTATCAATTCCAGAAACAAAGGCCAGCTTTTCAACTCATTATCTCCAGCTGGAATTCCTTATCTGCTTCCCTAGCAGCCCACCAGCCTGAGGCTATCGGAGCCTGCCTCTTCACACAGGTGCACTCAGCGAACTCGTAGGTTTCTGGGAAGAGGATAGGTTTGGGCTGTGTGCCCCTCTCTGTGCTGGTGACGGTTGAAGCACACATTCTCCTTGCAATCACACTCTGCTCCTGAAAAGGCCACACGGATACAAGCTGGCCCTCGCTTGCCACCCACCCCAAGGTCTGGTACCCCCAGCACCTGACTGTGCTGACAACAGAAAGACAACAGCAGCCACTTGCAGAGAATGCTATATAAACACGAGGATAATTTCCAGCAGCGTCCCACAAGGCAGGCAGAGGCTGCAAGCCTTCAGATGTGATGTTCCCTGTTGAAAGGTAGATTAAAAGGACATGAATTTTTACCTTTTTAAGTGACTTGCTTTCAGCCCCAAAGTAAATCCCGGCTGTATCTCGGTCTTGCATGCAGTGAGTAACCCATAAATACACACTGATTACACCTGATACAGCCACAGTTGATCTCCCATGGCCGAGGGCACGCAGCTCCATGGGGCTCACTCTCCGCCTTCGAGAATGAGGGTCATTTTCTGTGGGAAGCCAGCACTGCAACCTCAGCAGGTCCTGTTACAGGCAGAGTGAGTCCTCGAGGAGGTGTCTTCTGACCCCTGTTTCTTCTCCCCACTACTTCTGTGCCCACCTTACAGAGGGGTCAGAAGGGCAGTGCCAGCCCCAAACCTGGAATGGGTGCAGCAACAAGGGACCCCCAAAATTCTAACCCCTAGAACAGCTCTACAGGCTGGAATTTGAATTCCTGGCTCACAGCCCAGGGACATTTCCAGTGCTTCCCAGCTCAGGGCGTTTCCACCGCTTCCTGGCCTGGCTCAGGGCGTTTCCACCGCTTCCCAGCTCAGGGCTGAGCAGAGTCAACATTCACTCAATCTCAGTTTCCTCCCAGCCTTCTTCCAGTTCCGTCTTGCCTTGTAATCCTGAGAAATCCATTGCCTTTGTGTCATCATCTGAAATGTGGCGGTGGAGATGAACGTAGGCTTTTGTGTGTGTTTGTTTGGGTGGCTCTTGCCACCTCTGTAAGGAAATGTTAATACTAGATCTATAGCTTAAATCATCCCATGTTGCTGAGTTAAAAAGACAGTTTGAATATTGAGTGTTACTGAGAAAGGAAGAAGCCATTTTGGCAGTCTCCTACTGCATGTCCTGGCTCAGTTTGTTATATCGCACTCAGCACAGAAAGTCAACACCAGAACAAAAGAATGCCAGATTACAGGGTTTATTGCCGGCGACCACGGAGAACTCACGTCTCTCCAACCTGTGGCCCCGAAAGAAAAGAGACAAGACCTTTTTATACCCACAAAACCACCTTGGGAGTGGAGGTAGAGTGGAGATGGGAATGAAAGCTGTCAATCACTTCCAGGATGGAATGATCTGGGGTGCTTACTCTGGCCATTACTGGTGATCAAAGGCCAGCAATTCTGGCAGTTACAGATAAGGGGAAGTATGCAGCTTTACCTTTTTGCAAAGTAAATTAGCAGTTTACAGAAACTCAGGTTAGCAGTCCTTGTGAGGAGAACAGAAACAGTTTTGTCCAATTTATGGTAGTGTACAAATTCTAACTCTAGGCTAGCTATATCACATGTTGAGACCACTTTTTGGCTTTTAAAGGCTGGTATATGAAGATCTGGTGGTCTGAGGCACACATGGTTCACCATACATTTGGCCCCAAGTGTGTAGTGTTTAAGACAAACAATGTCACAGCTGAGCCCATTCAAGTTAGTTAATAAAACTTGGTCCTCCTTAGGCCTGTTTGAAACACAACTCTGACCCATCACTGCTCTGCCAGACACTGCTGATGCTCCTGCCCGCCCCATCAATCACTACACTTGCTTCAGATGGATACTTAGCCTTCCCCGTGTGCCTGCAGACTTGGCTCCCCTTTGCTACTCCCACCCGGCCACCTCCACCTGCAATCCTAACATACCGCAGGCTGTCTTGGTCTTCCTCACCCACCAGCGGTTACACCCCTACCCTTTGTGCACCTTTCTAGGGGGCATTTTAAAAAATTCCCTCTGTGAGGTGGCTCTCGCCTGTAATCTCAGCACTTTGGAAGGCCAAGGCAGGCGGATCATGAGGTCAAAAGTTCAGGACCATCCTGGCCAACATGGTGAAACCCTGTCTCTACTAAAAATACAAAAATTAGCTGGGTGTGGTGGTGTGTGCCTGTGGTTCCCAGCTACTCAGGGGGCTGAGGCAGGAAATCACTTGAACCCACGAGGCAGAGGTTGCAGTGAGCGGAGACTGCGCCATTGCACTCCAGCCTGGGCAACAGAGTGAGACTCTGTCTCAAAAAGAAAAAATGCCCTTTACTCTCCCTGAGTAGCAGTCATGACTTACACCGTCTTACTTACCTTTGTTTGTATGACAGTTCCTATTTCCAATACTTTGAATTTTCAAAGCTACACACACACACACACACACACACACACACACACACACAGAGTCACTGGAAGGACACCCAGGTCGGAATGAGAAAATCTGGGTTCCGGTCTCAACTTTCCTTCCAGTTTCCTTCATCATCTTTGGCAACTCACCTTCCAGGTTTCTGGTTCCTCACTTGAAAAAGGAGGGGCCTGAACTATTCCAAGGGTTTCTAAGCCTAGCTGGGCATCAGCACTGCCTGGTTTACTTTTTTAAAAAAAATTCAGAATGTAGGGCTGCACCATCAGAGATTCTTATTCAGTAGGTTGGGTTGGAGCCTGGGAATCTGCATTTAAAGGCTCTCGAGTGATTCTAATGATCTGCCTAAAGGTAAACTCTTAGAGTGGATGTGTTAAAAAGCAGATTCCTGGGCTGGAAGCTGGATCCACAAAACTGGCATTTCCAGGGGAGAGACCTGGTAACTTGTATAGTTCATAAATTCTCAGGTGACTTTCATCATAAAGCTTGCCTGGGAAACACAAGCCTAGACCCCTGCTACACAAAATTTTCCAAAGACCTGCTGGGTCTGTCCTGCAGACCCCGTCCGACCTATGAATGAAATGAGTACTCAGACACAGGTATGCAGTGTAAGAGCAGCTAGGGGACAGTCTGGATCTAGTGGCCAAAGAGCAGCCTCGAGAAGCTGGAACTGCTTACTTTTATTCAGTCCAGGCACAATGCCGAAAGCATGGAGCAAACACAGTCTGCGGGTAATTAACATTTATTGTTCCCCTTTTAGGGACCATCAGCCTACGTTCAAAGGTCAGTTCCTGGACAACATAAGTAGACAAGCCTGTTTAAGATAAATTCCCCTACACTCCCTTGTACCTACTCCTTGCCCTCTGCCTCAGGGTTGCAGAACAGCTGCCTTCAGCTATTCTCCCCTGAAGCTTTGCAGAGCCTTCTGACCTTTCAGAAGGCCTGCTCCTTTTCCTTTCTCCCACCACACTGACCCCGATCTCCTACAAAGGCCAGCAGTATTGTGTCACCTGGGAGCTTGACAGAACTGCAGAGTCTCAGACCCCTCCCTTGGCGACTGAATCAGAATCTGCATTCTAACGAGATCTCTGGGTGACAGGCAGGCACAGCCGGGTTTGAGAAACATGGCTCTGAATCAGTGATTCGCAAACTAGAACAAGCCTCAGAATCCTCTGCAGGGCTTGTTGGCTGAAACCCACCCTACCAGAGCCCACCTTCCAGATTCTGATTCTCAGGTCTGGAGTGGGGCTCAAGGTTTTACATTCTTAGCGAGTTCCCTGGTGATACTGATGCTGCTGGTCCAGGGACCAGTCTTTGAGAACTGGGCCCTGGAGGATTTCTCAAAACTCTACATCCAAGAGTGAATCCTCTCCATGCAGGGTCCAGCCCTACAGGGTCCCGTGAGCACAGGTGTGGAGACGAGAAACTGTGGAAATAAAAGACACAAGACACCGAGAAAGAGAAAACAAGAGTTTGGGCCCAGGGTCCATGGCCAACCAAAGCATGGAGTCTGGCAGTGGCCCTGAGTGCCTGGACGTTTTGACTTTTATTGAGTACAAAGCAGGGGGCAGGGAAGGCAGGGCGAGGCATTGGTGGTCAGTGATAGGGTCAAATAAATCACGTGTCTTGAAGACAGGGGCCCAGGACTCTCAAGTAGCCGAGGGGAGGAGAAAGCCTAAGGCATCAGCACTGTTTTCATACTTGTCAAGAAATAACAAGGTCACTAAGATTTATGTTACCATTACTAATTCTTATCTTCTAAGAAAAAGAGGAACCAGATGCAGAAGCAGAACTTGAAAGTAGACATGGAATGTGACCGCTGAAGCACAGCATCACATAGAGACAGTTAAGCCCCCAGATGTCTGAGGGCCTCCCTGACAGCCATCAGGCTTACCACAAGAGCTTGGGGGAGCGGAGTTTTCTCCTCACTCCCCCGAGGAAGGAGATGTCTCAGCCATTTTGGACATCTCCTCCCCTAGCTGGCTAAACAGCAGGCGTTTTCCCAGCGCTGGTGCTGCCACACAGCCGAGGCACCCTCCAGCAGCCCTTACGCAGGCATGACAGAGGGCTTAGAGCATCTTGCCTTAGGATCACTTTGTTCACAATGTCACCTCAGCTTCATGCTTCATTACCTGATAATCATTAGTAAAAATAAAAGGTTATATTGAGTATATATATATATATCTTTATGATTACATGTGAATAACTAAATGATTATATATGATTACATATAGCAATAACTATGTGCTTATAGTTCTCTTTTCTATAAGGGAAAAGGCTGAGGCTTCAGACCCTTGCCTCGGCATTTTCAGGGTTCCCCACCCCACATCTCCATTCTGTTTTTTTTTCTCTTGCTCAGGACAAATCCACTCTCCTGGACAGCTCCTGGCTCTATCTGTTGCTCAGTCTGGCATCACCCTCCATGCCTTGGCACCAGAGCCTGCCACTAGATGGCAGCCACTAGCTGCTCTGCTAGGGATCTGGCTCCCCAGCCTGGCTTCACCCTGAGTGGGAAAGTTCTTGAGGAGCCAAAGAAGACTGGTGGCTCTGGCAAGGTGTGGATGAAAGGTAGAAGACTCCCTTAGAGAAATCCAGAGCCCTGCTGTGCCACAGAGGGGTAAAGGCAAGAGAAGCCAGTAACACTTATCCCGTCTTAATTTAAAATTTTGTTTTTCATGGGTGCTTTTTGCATTAACCTTGATTTTTTTTTAAATTGCAATACAATATAATTAATTTTTATTACTGAGTTGTTTTTTGTTTTTTGTTTTTTTTTTTGATATGGAGTCTCACTCTGTCACCCAGAGTGCAGTGGCGCAATCTCGGCTCATTGCAACCTCCACCTCCTGGGTTCAAGCAATTCTCCTGCCTCAGCCTCCCATCTGGGATTACAGGCGCCCGCCACCATAGCTGGCTAACTGGCTAACTTTTCTGCTTTTAGTAGAGAACAGGTTTCACTACGTTGGCCAGGCTAGTCTTGAACTCCTGACATCAGGAGATCAAGGACTTGGCCTCCCAAAGTGCTGCTATTACAGGCGTGAGCCACCGCACCCACCCTTGATTACTGAAAGTTTTTTGCAGTCCCCTTAGATTTTGTGCCTAAAGAGGGTGGCTTACTTGCCTCCCTTTAGTCCTGGCTCAGGCCACAGCAATGTGGTTTGTGCCCCAGCATCTTGAAGAGTTATGGCAAAGCTATTTTCTGCCCTTACGGAAGGCCCTTCTCTCTGTGAGATCTCAGTGCTGGGCTGGGGCAGATGTGAGGGCAGTCACCTTGCCTCGGGACAGAGGCGTTGGCTGGGTTGGTTCACTGTCACTGGCTGGAGCCAATTCCCCCCAGGGTGAGTCCTGCCTCCTGAGGCCCCTTATTCTCCCTGTGGCTCCCCTTCTGCCAGCCCATACCCCCAGGTCCCCAGAGAGTCCTGAGTCCAGAACTTCCACCGCCTGGCTGCAGGTTGAAGCCGCTGCTATTGAAAGAGGTCTCTGGCCCCCAGCCGGCATATGACCCTGCCTGCTGAAGCATTCCCCTGCCCTCTGCCTGGCTGGAGTAAGTTCACTTCCTGGGGGAGTTAAAAGTCTTAACTCCTTCATGGGCACTGTTTAAGCTCCTGTTTCTTTCTTGTTTTTAGAGGGACCTATTTTATTATCTCTGTCTTAATGAGTTGGTATGTTTTGTAGCTTCTGGTGACATCTCTTTTAATGCTCCTACTTTCTCTCTGTGGGTCCAGTCTCCACCTGCGTGGGTCCTTTCTTCTACAGTGAAAGAAAATCAAGTGAAACAATCTGCCCACTGAACCCACAGAAATGGTAGGGTCTAAGCACTCAGTCACTCCAAACCTTGGCTTAGAACCACCTGAGGAGCTTTCAAAAATCTCAATGCCCTGGTCCCACCCACAACCAATTAAATCAGAATGAGATGCAGTCCTAAGCATCAGTAAATTGCAATACCCTGAACCTCCAGATGAAAACAATATGCAGCCAAGGGTGGGAACCAGGGCACCAAAAACAGACCTGGGTCTTACAGAGCCAAGGCTGCCCCCTACAGGCAGGACTGGGTGCTGCAGCCCACTGGTAGGATCACAGATTGGGAGAGCAGAACCTCAAAGGCTTTGCTGTAGTGTAGGGTGCAATCATGGCCAAAGCAGCCTCAACCTCCCAGGCTCAAGCAATCCTCCAGCCTCAGCCTCTGGGACTACAGGTGCATGCCACCATGCTTTCTACAATTTTTTTTGTAGAGACAGAGCCTCACTATATTGCCCAGGCTGGTCTTGAACTACTGGGCCCAAACAATCCTCCAGCCTCAAGCCTCCCAAAGTGCCAGGATTACGGGTGTGAGCCACGGCACCCTGTCATAGCTTTAAGATTTTAAAACCCAGTCTTCTCCCCACCATTGACTCTCCTGTATAAACTCCCCAGTAACTTTCAGCCCAAGCTCTTTCAAAATTATCCCAACTCCACAAGCCCACTTTTTCCATCAGAGGGTAGCCCCTCCTGGCAGCAAGACACTTTGTCACACAGCTGAACTCCCCTTTCAAGAACTTCACCTCTTGGCCCTGGGTCTGGGCACTGGAGACACACGTGAAATAAACCTGTTCTCTTGGATCTTTCACGGTTGTTAGGCAGCTGCTGTATTCCTACGAACCCCTGTTCTCTCAAGGTGAAGGAGCCCCTGTTCCTATATCCTGCCCCCTCCTTCCTAGACTGACAAGATCCCTTCATCAGGGATGACACCCAGAATTTAGTCTAAAATTTAAAAAAGGATTATAGAGATGAAATATGCTCATCATAAAAATATATTTGTAAAAAACATAAAGTAGAAAGTGGTCCTCCCTGTCTGTTTTCCTCAATCCCACTGTCTGAGGGATAGGGTGGGGTAAGGTCGGGATGTACCCTCATTAAGAGATTGGTGGCACCAGGGCCAGGTGCGGTGGTGCAGGCCTGTAATCCCAGCACTTTGGGAGGCTGAGGCGGGTGGATCACAAGGTCAAGAGATTGAGACCATCCTGGCCAACTTGGTGACACCCCGTCTCTACTAAAAATACAAAAATTAGCTGAGTGTGGTGGTGTGAGCCTGTAGTCCCAGACACTTGGGGGGCTAAGGCAGGAGAATTGCTTGAACTGGGGAGGTGGAGGTTGCAGTGAGCCAAGATTGCACCACTGCACTCCAGCCTGGTGAGAGTGAGACTACACCTCAAAAAAAAAAAAAAAAAAAAATAGAGATTGGTGGAACCCAGAACTGAAGGTCACTATCTCTCTCTCTCTCTCTATCTATCTATCTATCTATCTATCTATGCAACAGGGTCTCACTCTCTCCCCCAGGCTGGAGTGCAGTGGCGCCATTTTGGTTCACTGCAGCCTGAATCTCCCTAGCTGAAGCGTTCCTCTTGCTTCAGCCTCCCCAGTAGCTGGGACCACAGGCACACTCCACTATGTCTGGCTAATTTAGAAAACTTTTTTGTACAAACAAGGTCTCACTATGTTGCCCAGGCTGATCTTAAACTCCTGGATTCAAGAAATCCTCCCCCATCAGCTTCCCAAAGTGCTGGAATTACAGGTGTGAGCCATTGCACCCAGGTGAATGTCATATTCTTGCCCCAAGAGTGAGAGTGCCTCTCTGAGCCTCAGTTTCCTCCTCTGTAACGTGAATAATTATAGTACCTACCCTCAAGGCTTTCTGCTATGAAGCAAATAAAAGGCCAAGCACGATGCCTTCACATGTTATAACCGAATTGTCTCCGACAATTGTGGAGGCTTGAAGTACATTGACTTTTCCTGCTTATTACACTCACATCACAGCAGAACTGGGTTCATGTGGGTTAGTAAAATTAGTCCTAAAGCCCCGGTGCTGAGAACATCCACTAAGTGCTAAGGAAAAGGGGCTCCCAAACCGATTCTTTTAAACCGAGGTGCACTTGATGGAGATGACCACCAGAGGGCAGGGCTGCGTCACTTTTGAGGGGAATTACTTGAATTACTTCATGGTCAGTCAAGTACAGGCCCACCAGGGTATGTAGCTTCGGGGGAGGCTGACTCAATTCTAACCGCCTTGGGTTGAGCCTGGGGGTGTCCTGTCTGCTAATCTGCCCAGGTCTGAGCTCAGCAGAGTCCCTTAGTGTCAGGTTATCCAAAAGTGGATGTGCCCAGGCTCTTCTCTGGTTCCCATTTGCAATTGAGGGCCACTTCAGTATCTTCAGACCCCGATTCTGACGTACACAACGGGTCCTGCACCTGCATCGCGCCCCTTCCACTCACTCACCTGCACCCGTAGCAGACCAATCATCAATTACATCATTTCCCGCCAAGCCTGGCCTGAGAATCTTACTCAGCATCTCATGCCAGACGGTGGCTACCAACTGCTCAGTGACATTGGTGGCACCATCGCTCAACAGATATTTCTGGTACCTCTATGTGCCAAGCACTGTCCTACTTGACATCCCTTCCCTAGTCCAAGTCAGACCCAAGCAAGGGTTGGCTTCTCTGACACAGACTGAAATTTCTTGGTTTCTCCAAATTCAGAATGAACCTGGGCTACTCTCTGCAAGGGTGTTGTCACACTTATGGGCTTACCCTGACAACAGGCACAAGATGGGAACCCCCCAAACCTGAAATTCCCATACTATACTTCTAGTTTGATGCTGCCATGCTCCCTTAGCCAAAATCAGAAGAGTAACTACTCCCTCCCTGCCAAGCTGACTCATCCAACCCCATAAGAGTCTGACCCAGAGCTGTGACAATGCGCTAAATCAGACTCTTCTTCCTTCACTGTATTCCTACCAGGAAGTAAAGAAATACTTACAGAGACTCTACTTCCCATGACGGGTTAGATGTCAAACATACTCTCCCTTCAAACATTCAAATCCTCTTGGAGTTGGCAGATACATGCTGTGCAGGCTTAAAGGCTGCCTGCAGGTGTGGATTTAAGAATGTTTTGAGAATGTTTGCTCCTCAAGGAAAACAAAGGAAAATGTTCCTTTAGGATTATGCAATTTAGACAAAGGGAAGCTGATAAGGTCCTTGACATGAGCACTGCAGACTATTTTAAGAAAGGGGAGAGGAAGGATACAAGGAATCAAAGGGTTTAACACTGCTTAGATCAGAGAGATCACAAAATATTTGTGGGGGATTTATCACTA